GAGAAATACAGCCAGTATTTGGGCTATAAAGAAAAAGCTTTCTCCATCCAGGGAAAAACAGGACAGGAAATGACAGAAGCAGTTTCTGTCACTCCAAGTAGGAATAAACTATCCCAAGGCTTCAATAAATATTTTCATTTCCACACAACTTAGAAATTGCACTAATTTAGAAGCCAGAGAGCTTCTTGTGGCAATAACTTGCTGTATTTTACAATTCTGTCACAGCTAAAAATAGAGGCAAGCTCGTGTTTGAGAAGATGATTGAGCCTGGAGGGCCCCCAGCAAAGCACAAAAAGGATTTGAAGGATATTTGGGACTGATTGAAAATGTTCCACCTGTGCCTTTTAAGATGCAAAATGAAAAACAACCACACATGAAGGTAATGACAAAAAGCAGAGCAATAATTTAATGATTTATCAAAACTGACTTAATTGCACAGAGGGATCCTAACTTTGTCCAAGACCAGCTCTAATTTCTTATTAACTAATACAAGGATGGGAAGGAACAGGATTATTATGGATGTTTGGGTTCCCATGGTACCCAAATGTTCTGTTTTTCTGAAGCTTCTACTTAAGGAGCTCCTATTTTCTCTTGATACGGTTGCTGCTGGAAAAAAATAAAGGCATATTTTCCACCTAAGTTCCTGAAAAATGCTTCCCAATTCCCCTTTTTCCTAGAGCTCCTGCTGGATCTAGCCTCAGTTCAGCAGATATCAGACATTATATTAAACTTCTGGACTGAAAAGCACGCTAATTAATATTTTCTTCTTTCTCTTGAGTCAGGAAAAACAAACATTACCAAAAAAAGTGATGTTTTCTTCAAGAGACTGACTCCTCATCCAGAAGACCTCCACATGTCATAAAAAATTTACAGCTTCAAACCCTCCAATTAACACTATCCCCTATTTTTATGCCAGGTCAGCAATTATTTCACACAAGGATTTAACTCATTTTCCCCTTAATGGCCTTGAAATTTCCTCTAGATATGACAATTTCCTACACCCTGGTGTCACTTGCTCAGCATGTTTGAATTCTGTCTCAAAACAAATTATTAAAAAAAATGTGGCAACATTGTTTTAACCCTGCAAATCTGTTATCAGCAAGTTTTTACAGTGGTATTTCTTAAAAACAAGCTTTTTAATGTGCTATTTTTTAAGTGACAAAGTGTTTTCAGTATTTAGCATAGAGAAGAAAACAATTCCAATATTTTAAAGCCCCAAAATGTGATTTTGTAGCCACAAATGAAGAGTTTGCATTTCGTGAAAGTATTTGCATGGGTTTGTGTCTAAGGCACAATTATTTTGTGCTCTTTCCTCATTGTCTGGACAGCTTGGTTAATAAAATAAACAATTTTAATGACTTACCCTTACTTGACCAACAAAAGCATTGGCTTCCTCTTCCTGCACAGAGAGGTTTTTGGGGAGAAACATGTCAAAAACTGGTCCGTTGTCATTGACATCTGTCACCACTATATTGACAGTAGCAGTCGAAGTCTAGGAAGAAAAAGAACATTTTGAAGAAATTCTCTTTATTTTACAGCTTCCCAGGTGCCAACTCTACTGTTACTTATTAGACAGGATCACAGATAAGCAGATTAGCAGCTATTTAAACATATTTTTGTGAAAAGGGAAGCATTTCAAGAGGTTATTTTGAATTTTTAGAAGACAAAACAAGCTCAAGACTGACTCATATATTAGAGACGCGTGATAAATATCAGATTTGTTTTTAATATGGTATTTTAAGGATTTAAGGCGTTTTTGTTGTCAGTGAAGGGAAAAATGTGGAAATATCAAAATTTGCCAGAATGAAAAACGGAAATTAGTGATTTATCAAGCAAAATATGCCACAGTGATGATTAACTAAGCTGATGTAGTGGCTTAGTTAATCCTTAGTCATCCTGTATCATCCTCCTGCATCATGTTCTATTTTGCAACCCAATTTCAACATCCCAGGGGGTGAGAACAGCAGAATTAACTATATTTAATTTAAAATGTCAACAAAATATGTCTGTGCTACCTATGGAAATTTTCTCTCACAATCGAAAAGGTGGAGATGTGTTGAATTGAGTCACATCCCTTTTCTCTGCTCCCATAGACTGAGAGGTCCAGACCAAAACCCCACATTGTTGTACTTAATAAATGATTGTGTTCAATATGTTATATATACATATAATATACATCTTCCCTTAACAAAAACCCCAAAACAGCAAAATAAAATAAAAAAACCCAAACAAACAAACAAAAACAAAAAACCCAAAAAAAAACCCCCAAAAAACCCAAACCAAACAAAAAAAAAAACCACAAAAAAAACCACAAAAAAACCCAAAAAAACCCAAACAAAACCCCAACCAAAAGTCTGAATGGAGATCTGCATCTTCAGGTGCTCTACTGGTGTTGGAATCAGGCTCTTCCCACCTCCAGATCCAGCTGGTGTGGTTTCAGTGTCCCAAGAGCTCCCCACATCTGCATAAGATAACTCCTTACTACTTAAAAAATTGAAAAATCCAGAGGATTTTGAACCAAGCCAGCACAAAGTGCTCCCAGGCTGGCAGCTTCTGTTTACTGAGCCCCAGTTATTTGCTAATTGCTCCTGAAACTGCCATTCCCACATTCCATTTCTAAAAGGAAAGTAAGAAAAGTGCACTTTCTGCCTTTTTGTCCACACAAAAGCCACTCCAGAACGTTTGCTCTGCTATGCTGCACACAGAATGTAAATCAGCTTTTCCAAAGGTAACTCAACTCCATGAAAATCAGGGAAATGAACTGAGGCAACATGGTGTTAAGTAACAATGGCATAAAGCAGGAATTCCTATTTGGAAAAGATTTCATTTCAGATAATTTTCACGGGCTGTGGTTGATCATCTGCAATATTTCTTCTCTTTGAGAGGATTTTATAAGGAGAAAGACAGTGAGGGAGGAAAATAAGAGTTTGAAATTTTTTCCCAACTCTTGCCTAAGGATTTTCAGTATTTTTCACGTTCCTGGCCATTCTTGACTCATCTTCAGCACCCTCTCTGTCAGCCAACACACCCAGGGCCAGTGCTCCACTTGTCATACTTAAATTTTCACTTCTGAATTTAAAAGGCAAGATTTTTGCAAAGAAACAGTATTTTGCAAGAAAAATGGAGATGCCAAATAGTAGAATTAGTTTGGAAAATTTTATCAAATGCTCCTCAACCTAAAGTTGCAAGTGTGTTAAAATAAGATCCTGCCAGAAGACCAACATTTCAAGTAACTCCTCTTTTTATATGAGTCACAGTTTAGAAAATTATCAGATGTGAATGAATTCAGAATTCACTGTAATAAGAAATATTTCAAATAATCTTCCTTTTTTTATTAATCACAATTTAGCAAATAACCAAAAGTGGGTGAAATCACAAGGAGCATTCAAAGCAGACTCTGGGTTAGCAGAAACCCCCTGGATTCTCTTCCTAAAAATCAGTAACAGACTCTGAAACTGAGAAAGGAAATGTGAATACTTCAAAATCTCCCTATTCCACCCAAATACAGGAAACATTTGTTATCTCACTGTTATCTCAGCAATGCCCACTTTTACCACTTACTGGAACCCACCTGTGTGTCTTTGAAAGCAGCACTTCTCTCATTAACATCAGAAAGGGCTGTGATCAAAGATTATTAACCAAAACAAATATTTTTAGACCCCCATTAGATGGCTCCAAAGACTTGTTGAAGCTCACAGCCTCAGACTGATGTGCTGTTCTGAAAAAGCCCTTATTTGACAACCAGAATGAATTACAGGGGCTTCTTCGGGACTGCAGCACAGAGCAGGATTGGGAACAACATCATCATCCCTGCTGGGAATCACAAAAAAGTCACTAGACACTAAAATCCTACTGACAAAATAACCAATGCCTGTGTTCAGAGATAAACCAGAACCTCTATTCAGCCTGACACTGGATCAGAAAATGTGGAAGGGTGGGCAGGCCCTGGCACAGGGTGCCCAGAGAAGCTGTGGCTGCCCCTGGATCCCTGGAAGTGTCCAAGGCCAGGCTGGACTTTGGGGCTTGGAGCAGCCTGGGATAGTGGAAGGTGTCCCTGCCCATGGCAGGGGGTGACACTGGGTGGGATTTAAGGTCCTTTCCCGCACAAACTGTGATTCCATGATTTTTATGTGACCTTAAAACCATCTAGTGCCTCCCCTTCCAGTGGAAGGGCAGGGACACCTTCCACTATCTCAGGCTGCTCCAAGCCCCGAAGTCCAGCCTGGCCTTGGACACTTCCAGGGATCCAGGGGCAGCCACAGCTTCTCTGGGCACCCTGTGCCAGGGCCTGCCCACCCTCCCAGGGAACAATTCTGTCACAAAATCCTATCTATCCCTGCCCTCTGGCAGTGGGAAGAAATTCCCTGTGTCCATGCCCTTGGGAAGAGTCTCTCTCCATCTTTCCTGGAAAGCGAATTCACAAATTTCTCAAAGAATTATGAAAAGTTGCTGAGATTTGTAGAGGATGCCAAAAGAGGCACAGAAACAACAAAAAAGGTCTTCATAAATATTTAAATACCACTAAAATTATTTAAAGAAGTGGTTCCCTAAAATAATGAGAGACACCTAATTCACAACTGGTTTTCCAGGGATATTCCTCAGACAAATCCAACACAGTAAGGTTTAAAAACTGCTTTGGCTGGTTAAAGATGAGGCTTTTCTACAACAGAAGCATCAAGCAGTGTTTGGGAATCCTAAAGCTATTCCTGCAAATTCAACCAGGGAAACAACCATCTCAGCCTCATATCAGGCATTTCCTATTCATTACTGGAGAAACCCTGCTTACTTCTCTTTTATAATGAACATAAATAAAAGATCCACAGCAAGAATTTAGATCTTTCTTAGGGGCCCTCAAATAGTTCTTACATAGATAATTCTTCCCTAAGCAATAATTGTAAAATTTACACTGCCTGCACAAATCCTAAGAATGTCAGGCCCTGACAAATGTTACGGATGATAAATCTGAAGGAAATTCCACTTTGTTCTTATTTTATTTGTATCCTGTCATTTAAATTGAAGCTGGGAATTGGTGAGAGCATTCTATGCCTTGGAGAGAAAACATTCTTGGCTCTGATGTTGGGCAAGTTTATTAATTTGGACAAACTCTTTGACAAACCTGTCATATTGAGAGATAATTAGTTTGCAAATGATACAATTGGAGGTAAAGCCTTTATTTGATAAAAAAAAAGAAATGTAAATAATTCTGCTGATCTCCATATCAGGATTTATTGCTATTCATCTAAAGAAAACTATATTTGAGTGGTGATAGAATTAACAATTCTATGATTCTATTTTTAGACCTTCTTTCCTTCCATGAGAAGTTTAAAAGAAGTATCTCCCAAGCCTCTCCACCCCTCCAAGCTATAAAGAGGAAATTGCCAGCTGGACTGCAAAGAAATTTTGGAGAGAAGACCCTGAGGTGAAGGGAAGGGTAATTCTGGAGCTTGTCAATAATTACACTAATGAGAAAAGATCCCAATAAGCCTGGAGATGAGAAGAAAAATCCCAATAAGCCTGGAGATGAAACGAAAAACTGTCAAAACACCAAGATAAATCCCAAAGGGAAAGCTCCCAAAATAAAACCTTATAGATCACAAAAGAGAACAGAAAATATGAGCATTTCATGCAGAAAGGAAGAGAAAATCATGGACACTGAAGGAACATCCTTGACAAACAGATAGAACTGTTAAGGTTGGAAAAGCTCTCTAAGACCAGCAAGTCCAGCCCTTCCCCAGCACTCCCAAGACCACCCTGACCAATGTCCCCAAGTGCCATGTTCATATGGCTTTGAACACCTCCAGGGATGGGCACTCCAAACCTCCCTGGGCAGCCCCTCACAAGGCCTGAGCACCCTTTCCATGGAGAAATTCCTCCTGCTGTCCAACCTGAGCCTCTCCTGGCACAGCTTGAGGCCGTTTCCCCTTGTCCTGTCCCTGTTCCCTGGCAGCAGAGCCCGACCCCCCCCTGGCTGTCCCCTCCTGTCAGGGAGTTGTGCAGAGCCAGAAGTTCTCCCCTCAACTTCCTCTTAATGGGAACTTATTTATTTGTATCCCTTATTTAGGATTTACAGTCTGCTCCAAATCTTGGATTGAAAACTGGAATCAATCTATTACTTTGTATAAATTCCTTAATTCACCCCTTCCTTTTTAGCACATGAAATCAAAGCCTTAATAGGGAATATTATCCATGCTAAGCCACACAAGCACTCAAAATTTGGGAGGCTCCTAAAGCTTGCTGTAATAAAAGAGCTGCTGAGGGAAGAAAAGCCTTCTCTCCAGGAGGAGGAAATCTGTCCGGACAAACTCCTCTCGTGCAAACTGGAATTCACATATCAGCTGGAATTTTTAAGGATTTCTTATACAAAATACAGAACTTGTCAGGAAAACAGTAACAGGCAGTGTGTCTAATTACAGCTTGGAAAGAAAATAATTTGAGGAGAAGTTCTTTCAAGGAGGAAGGTCAAATTATGGATCTGTGTATACTGTTCCCTTT